CACTGCACCGGGCCCAAAAAGGAAGGAAATTCTTACACGTACTACAACATGAATGAACCTTGAGGACATTATGATAAATGAAATAAGGTAGTCACAGAAAGACAAATACTGTATGGTTCTGCTTACATGAGGAATGTGAAGCAATGAAATGTACAGAAACAGAATAGTTGCCAAGGGTTGGAAGGCGGAGGAAACAGGAAGTTGTTCAATGGGTGTAGAGTTTCAGTGTTGCAAGGTGAAAAAGTTCTGGAGCTCTGTTGCACAACAATGTGCATACATATACTACTGAACTGAACACTTAAAAATGTTAAGATGGTAAATGTTATGGTTTTTGCCATAACTTTTAAAATTGTAAAAATAGTGTAAACATAAACATAAATAAATATATAGCTTGCAACTTTTCTGCCTTAAAAAATAACTACATGCAGCAGTGATTATGAATCTATGTTATGGACACACAATACATGAAGATGTAATTTGTATGACAACAGTAGCACAAAGGAGCGGGAAGGAAACTGAGCTGTAAGAGTGAAATTTTTGTATACTATTGAAATTAAGTTGATAGTAATCCAGCTAGGTTGTCATAAATTAGAATTTTAATTATAATCCCCAGGGGACGCATAAAGAAAATAATTTTAAAAGATATAGTAAAAGATATGACAAAAGAATATGGTAGACTGGAAAATATCCATTTAACAGAGAGAACGCAGTGATGTCCACTGGGAGATTCTATGCCAGTAGGTGTGGGTAACTGTTGAACCCCATTTGTGATGGAGATAAAAAAAAAAAAGCAGTGATAAAGAAACAGAGGAACAAAAAAGATACGGTACAGACAGAAAACAAATAGCAACATGGCAGATACAAACCTCACCTTATTAGTAATTATATAAAATGTAAATAGGTTAAACTCACAAATTAAAAGATAGAGATTGGCAGAATGGACCAAAAAATGCCTAATCCAGCTGTATTCTGTCAACAAGAGACATAAGTTAGATATGAAGACACAAATGAACTGAAATTAAAAGGATGGGCAGGTAGTGGTAGCTCATGCCTGTAATCCCGGCACTTTGGGAGGCCAAGGTGGGAGGATCATTTGAGGGCAGGAGTTCAAGACCAGCCTGGCAAACATGACGAAACCCCATCTCTAATAAAAACACAAAAATTAGCCAGGCATGGTGGCACGTGCCTGTAGTCCTGGCTACTCGGGAGGCTAAGGCAGGAGAATTGCTTGAACCCGGGAGGTTGCAGTGAGCCAAGATCACGCCACTGGACTAAAAAGATGGAAAAAGGTATTCCATGGAAACAGCAATCAAAAAAGGGCTGGAGTGGCTATACTAATAATATAAGACAAAATATACTTCAAGACAAGAATTATTACTAGAGATAAAGGACATTTTATTAAAGGGCCAGTCTATTAAGAAGATAAATCCGCCTGTGCTCACTGTCTTCTTGCAAGCCAAACGGAAGTGTTACCGGCCAGCCATGTAGCTGTCACAGTGCTTCTGCTTAGGAACTGCTGCACAGGCAGAAGACAATGTATTAAAATCTTCAACGTGTTAAGGGAAAAATAACAAAAAATTTCTATCCAGTTAAATAGCTAACTATGAGTCAAGAGTAAAGATGGACACACACTTCTCATTAGAACTATTAAAAGAGCTACTTCAACAAGAAGGAAAAAGCCCAGAGTAACGATAAGAAATACAGAAAACTGGCTGGACGTGGTAGCTCACGCCTGTAATCCCAGCACTTTGGGAGGCCGAGGTGAGATCACCCTGAGGTCAGGAGTTTGAGACCAGCCTGGCCAACATGTAAAACCCCATCTGTACTAAAAATACAAAAACTAGCCAGGCGTGGTGGTGGGTGCCTGTAATCTTAGCACTTTGGGAGGGTGAGGCGTGCAGACTGAGGCAGGAGAATCGCTTGAATCCAGGAGGCGGAGGTTGCAGTGAGATGAGATCACGTCACTGCACTCCAGCCTGGGCGACAGAGCGAGACTCCATCTCAAAAAAAAAAAAAAAAAGGCAGTCACAAAAAGACAAATACTGTATGGTTCTGCTTACATGAGGAATGTGAAGCAATGAAATGTACAGAAACAGAATAGTTGCCAAGGGTTGGAAGGCGGAGGAAACAGGAAGTTGTTCAATGGGTGTAGAGTTTCAGTGTTGCAAGGTGAAAAAGTTCTGGAGCTC